CACCAAGTCCAGTCCTCATGCGCCATAGTGACGTCTTGCCAAGATATCGTGTCCGCACTCCACCGCTCGGCGTAAGCAGGGTCCTCGCTCGGGGCCATTAGCATATGTGAGGGCGTAGACATGGGCCCCAAAGAACCGTTGTCAAGGCCATTCGTGTAGGATCTGACCGTCATCGGATCACGTACCTGGTGTGCTGGTAGGCAGGCTGCGAGCATCTCGTTGTGCGTCGGTGCCTTCCAAATCTTGATCGACTGCTGCGTCCCAAAGGTGGGCGCCGCCTGAGTGCACACTGCCAGGAGTACGAGGCATGACAACTTCCATGGGCGCGCCGAGCACAGGGGCAGCATCATGAGGCTCTGCGTGCTGCTCTGCGCCTGGGCCACCAGGGACGACGGCACGCCTGTGCAATACAAAGGCGCGCTGGAGCTCCACGAGGTGCGTGCTGAGCGACTGGAGGAGCATGTCTGGGTTGCCAGCGGCCATGGCGCGTGGTGCCGCGGCGACCACTCCGTGCAGGCGGCCCATGGCCTCCTCCAGGCTGCCGACCGTTGAGTCGCCAGGTGAGGTTGCCATGATGGCTGCACGCGCCGTGGCGACTTCTGCTTGAATGGCGGCCAACTCCGCGGCGGCCGTAGTGAGCTCCATCTGCTTCGCTGTGAGCTGCTCCTGCAGCGTGTCGACCTGCGTTTTGAAGTCGTTGTGCTCTCGAAGCTTAGAGGCTTGGCGGTCCAGAGCACGGCGAAGCATGTCATCAGGAGTCCGAGCAGCACGTTTAATTTCTTCTGCGCCTGCCAGCTGCTTTTGGCTGAGAGCACCACCTCGGAGTCCTCAGGAAGCTGCAGTCGGCGTAGAGCGGCGAGGGCCTTACGTGCACGGGCAACGTCATCATGCTCACCTGGACCTCCTGTGGAGGTGCTCTCGGCGTCCTGGGGCGGGACGCTGCTGGGGGCCCCGCGCGACTGCCTGCTGCCTGACTGGGCGCGCCGCTTGGCACCAGGCGGTTCGGCGCCAGACGGGTCAGGCCGCCCGAGCTTGTCCCTGCCGCACATGTAGCAGCGCTCGTTCTGCTGGAAGTTTGTGCGAAACCCGCACTGGCGGCTAGCAGCACAAGCCCATGTGCCAGCAGGCGCGCCAGAGCCCGCTGTGCCGCGGCCCTCCTGGGTACCACGGCTGCGGCCGCGCCCTGCTTGGCCCATGGCAGGGGGCCTGGAGCCGTGGTGTCGCGTGAGGGCGTCGTGGTCGGCCGCGAGCCGCAAGCGGCGGCGTGCCGATGCACGGATAGAGGAGGAGCAGGGAGGAGGATGAGGAGGAAGAGGAGCAGGAAGGCCGCGGGAGGCGGGCGCCGGTCCCGCGCAGGCCTGGCCCCCTCGAGGCCTGGCCCTCCGCCGCACGGCTCCTCCTGCCACCCCCGCGTGCAGCCAGGGCGGCCAGGACCGAGGCGGGCAGGGGCCAGGACCAGTCAGCACTGGATCGGCGAGCCGGATCGGGATCGGAGGGTGCATCGGGTCGGGCTGCATCGGCACGGAACCGTCGGGTCGGGCTGTATCGGGTCGGGCCGCATCGGGTCGGGCTGCATCGGGTTGCATCGGGCCGGGCCGCAGTCGGCACGGAACCGAGATCGGGCCGGATCGGCAGCGCCAGGATGCACACCAGCGCCGGGGCAGGCATCGGGCCGCATCGGATCGTCGGAGCATCGGATCGGATCGGATATGGCCGACCAGGATCGATATCGAAGAGGCGGAGGAGGAGGAAGAGGAGGAGGAGGAGGAGGAGGAGGAGGGAGGAGGAGGAGGAGGAGGAGGAGGAGGAGGAGGAGGAGGGAGGAGGAGGAGGAGGAGGAGGAGGAGGAGGAGGAGGGAGGAGGAGGGATCGGATCGAGATCGACCCTGCAGAACTGCTTGGGTCGTCGCGCCCCATGCCCCGCGGTGCCCGACGCGAGGTTCTCTTCGCGCCCTCGGGCCCTCGCACCACCCTCTGGGAGAAGGGCGTCCGCTCTGGCCAAGGCCGCGGCGCCCAGCGCGCGACTACCTTCGAGCCCCTGCGGGTGACCTAGGAGCTACGGTCGAGGTTGGTTGGAGAGGACACGCGAGGGGACACGAGACCCTTCCGAGGGCCACACTGCCATAGGAGTGTAGAAGGCATGGGTCGCCAAGCACAGGACGCAAAAGCACCTTTGATTTGGCAGGGTCGACCTACCAATCCGCCCCGACTGTAGCCTCGAGCGTATCCCCATCCCTGAGACTGGCAAGCCCAAGGCGGCGACAATCTCAGGGATGTGCCCTCGGAAGCCGAGCGAGACCTCTAGATCGGCATCGAGATGAGGCCACGCCAGCCGTAGGGATATGTTTCAGGCTAGTGAACACAGTCCTTCAGGTGGGGGGAGGGGGCGGGGCGCGCATGCACCCCGCTGGCCGGCCCAGCCGACGCCGGCCTGCTGCCGAGTGGCCTGGCCTGAGGCACCACGCAGAGTGAGGAACAACGGAGAGTCCGTTCCAGCACACTTTCTTCTGCTGGAGCGCGCCCTCGCTTGGGTTGCCGAAACAGGCAGCACGTTTACATCCATAGCTTCTCCACATGGCGCCCACGGGGTGTGTCGAGGTCTGTCACACCCTATCTTCAGGCGGGAGCCAGCAGCCGCCAGACCACTGTGCTTACTCCCGTGCCGTCTTCTGCAGCGCCGCGCAAGTCTCACCAACACCTCCTCCTACTCCTCTTCCTCCTCATCATCATCATCGTCATCATCATCAGCAGCAGCACCATCACCAATACCATCATCATCATCATCATCATCATCATCATCATCATCATCATCATCATCATCATCATCATCGTCATCATCATCAGCATCATCAGCATCATCATCAGAGTCATCATCATCATCACCATCATCACCATCATCACCATCCAGACTCGGCACCACCACATCCTCATCAGCATCATCTTCCGCATCACCACTATCATCAGCATACTAATCATCATCAGCAGAATCGTCCTCATCAAAATCATCACACTCGTCATAATCGACATGATGATAACGACCATCAAAAGATGTCACCATCATCATGATCAACATCACCATCGTCATCATCACCACCCTCATCACCATCACATCACCACCATCATCATCATCATCATCATCATCATCATCATCATCAGCATCATCATCATCATCATCAGCATCATCATCATCATCATCATCATCATCATGAGCATCATCATCATAATCAGCATCATCATCGTCGTCGTCAGCGTCGTCATCACAGTCATCATCGTCAGTATCATCATCGTCACCATCATCAGTATCATCATAATCATCAGCATCATCATCATCATCAGAGTCATCATCATAACCATGATGATCATCATCATCATCATCATCATCACCATCATCATCATCATCATCATCATCATCATCAGCATCATTATCATAATCAGCATCATCATCGTCGTCAGCGTCGTCATCACAGTCATCATCGTCAGTATCATCATCATCGTCACCATCATCAGTATCATCATAATCATCAGCATCATCATCATCAGAGTCATCATCATAACCATGATGATCATCATCATCACCATCATCATCATCGTCATCATAATCATCATCCGCATCATCATCATCATCATCATCATCATCATCGTCATCATCATCATCATCATCATCATCATCATCCGCATAGTCGTCATCATCATCAGCATCACTACCATCATCAGCATAGTCGTCGTCATCATCATCATCATCAACATCAGCATCACCGTCATCAGCATCATCGTCATCATCAGAGTCATCAGCATCACCACAACCACCACCATAAATAATCATCATCATCATCACCATCATCCTCAGCATCATCCTCAGCATCATCATTAGCATACTCGTCATCATCATCATCATAATCATCAGAAGCAGCAATACAATCGTCATCATCATCATCAGCAGCATCATAATGCTCATCATCATCACCGTCATGATACTCATCGTCATCATCATCAGTATCATCATCACCCTCACCATACTCATCATCATCATTGCTATCGTCATCATAACCATCATCGTCATCATCACCATCATCATCAGTATCACCAGCAGCAGCAACACCATCGTCATCATCATCATCAGCAGCATCCTCGTAATCATCATCATCATCATCATCATCATCATCACCACCATCCTACTTCCCACTCAGAACTCCCAGCAAAGCCAGCTCAGCAGCACAACTGCGGTGGCCTCGAGGCACCGCCAGAATTCCGTGCGTCCGAACTGATCCTCCTGGCCCCCCCCGTCATCCCCCCGCCAAGTGCTGCCCTCGACCCTTGAAGACGGATGGGAGAGGCTTTCGACTGTTTCCAAAACGTGCCTCTGGTGACGTCTGGGCGTTTACCACCCCACTAAAGGCCTCCCGGATAGGGTCCGAGTAGAGCGGGTCAGAGGATCACGCCGCATCGCCAATGCATCGTTGATGCATCGTCGATGCATCGGTGACGTCGGCGTGGAGAAGATCGGTCTCCACATGGAGCCACATTGCCGACGCATCGGCGATGCGGCGAGATCCTCCGACCCCATCTTCTCGGACACCATCTGGGAGGCTCAGAACCCCAGCCCCGTCGCTCCCACCAGCTACACGCAAGAGTGGCCCTGGGCAAGAGGGACCTCCGGTGCGCGGCTTTCCGGGGCCGCGGGAGCTCCCAGCTCACCAAGAGCACGAGCCGCTGCGAGCGCATCTAATGCAGCTATCGTGGGGCCAGAAGCGGGCCCGCACCGAAGGTCACTCTGGGCCCCCTCTCACGCACAGCCGATCCCGCCCTCACTCCCTCAGCAGCCCACCCCTCACCCCATCTCGCCACCCCCCGCCCCACTCAAGAAGCCCCCTGGGAGGGGGAAGGATGTAGAAGACGATCGAGCGACCATCACTTTGAAATGCATGTAAAGGGGTCGAACGGATCGGGACAGAACTCGCTGGCAGATCGGGATGGCTGCCGGGAAAAATCGGGGCGGATTCCTGTGCTCGAACCGGTTGTGCTAGTCAGCGTGGCACTCGTAGTCGCTCCGCTCGAAGAGATCCTGCTCGTAGCCGTTGTGCTGGTCAGCGTGGAGGTGGTAATCTCCTCCGTGGTGCTCGTCGCCGTGGTGCTGGACAGCGTGGTGCTTGCCACCGTGGTGCTGGTCGGCGTGATGCTGCTCGAAGCGGTTGATGTACTTGATGTCGTTCTGTTCGAATCGGTGATGCTTGTAGCAGTTGTGCTGGTCAGCGTGCTCGTAATGGTTGTGCTAGTCAGCGACATGGTGCTCGTAGCCGTAGTGCTGGTCAGCGTGATGATGCTCGTTGAGGTTGATGTACTTGATGTCGTTCTGTTCGAATCGGTGATGCTTGTAGCAGTTGTGCTGGTCAGCGTGCTCGTAATGGTTGTGCTAGTCAGCGACGTGGTGCTCGTAGCCGTAGTGCTGGTCATCGTGATGCTGCTCATTGTCGTTAAGGTAGTCGCTGTCGTTCTGCTCGAAGTGGTGATGCTCGTAGCAGTTGTGCTGGTCAGCGTGCTCGTAATGGTTGTGCGAGTCAGCGTCGATGTGCTCGTCCCCGTGCTGGTCAGCGTGCTGGTCTCGGTGGTGATGGTCAGCGTGCCTCTGCGGCGCGCTGTTTGGGCTGGCAGCGAGCATGCCCGAAGAGGTAACCACTGTCAAGAGCGGCGGGCGCGCGAATGCCTGCATTCTTTCAGTCAGACGCTCCTGTTCAGTGACTGGCAAAAGGCGCCTCGGAGCAAGCACCGCACCACCGGCATGTTACTGCCCATGTGTCCCGTGCCTCTGCACCACATCACGTCAATGCTTCCAATCATCGCTCTATCCGTTGGCCGAGTTTAATATACCTAGGCACGACGCTTCCTCGACTGGCCCCGAGACCGATTATGGCTGTCATCTGGGAAGGGGAGACGACGCAAAAAGCTCCCGCGAAAATTCGAGACGGGATGGTGAAGCAAGCCTAACGAACCGTAGAACACGAACTACCAGAGACGGGTTGAACCAGGCCAAGGCTACGGCATGGGAAACAGAGTAAACTCATCGGGCGGATGTGGACTTGCTCGAGGTGAATCATGGAGGCATCGCTAAAAGCCGAAGCACCCTGAGCGAATCCCACCAACCCTCTGGGCGTGAATAGTTTATCCCTCATCCGACAGGTTGGGGCTGTTAGATTGCAAGAACAGGCCCCCTGGCCAACCCCACCCTGCATATCGCGGCCGCCAACCCCCACATTGTCTCCATGGTCCCCGAGAGTCCCGGGTGTCCCGCCTCGCGCCCGGCCAACCCCACCCTGCACTCCGCGGCCGCCAAACTCCAAGTTGTCCCGATGATCCCCGAGTCCCCGGTGACCCGCCTCGCGCCCTCGACGACCACGACAGAACACAATATGACACAACAGGATATGACAGAACGGAGCAGAGCATGACAGAACAGAAGATGGCAATGTAATCGCATCAAGGAGCATGACATAACATGCCAGAACATACAAGAGCAGAGCATGACAGGACAGAAGACGACAGAACGCAACATGACAGAACATAACCGAGCATACCATAACACCCCTTGAAAAAACATATCATAGCATGACACAGCATCTCTGAAAATATGATGACACGACAGAAGAGCATAGCGACGACGAACACGTCTGAAGACAACATGACACACCAGGACATGACAGAACAGAACGCGAGCATGCCAGAACATGACAGAACAGAACATGGCAACGACACGACAAAGTAACGCATAACATAACATCACATAACATACCAGAGCAGAGCAGGACATAACAGGAGACGACAGAACACAACGTGACAGAAAATAACGGAGGATATGATAACACCCCTTGAAAAACATATTTGATCATGACACAGCATCACAGAACAGATCATAACACGACAGCAGAACACAGCCACGGCGAACACGACAGAATAGATCATAGCACAACAGAACACGACATAGCGGAAGACGGGCATGACAGACCATGACAGAACAGAGCATAGCAATGCCATGACAAAATAGAGCATAACAAAATATCACAGAACATACCAGAGCAGAGCATGACAGATCAGACGACGGCAGAACACAACGTAGCAGGACCGAACGGAGCATGGCAGCACACACCTTGACAGAACATGCCATATCATGACACAGCATCACCAAACACATCATAACACGGCAGAGCCGAGCCGTCAACAAACATAACATCACATAACATACTAGAGCAGAACATGACAGAACGTAAGAAGAAACAACACAGCATAACAGAACAGGACCAAAGAACATATCATATCACGGCACAGCCTCCCACAATAGACCATAACACGACAGAAGAGCATAGCGACGACGAACACGACTGAAGACAACATGACACACCGAAACATGACAGAACAGAACACAAGCATGCCAGAACATGACAGAACAGAATATGGCAATGACACGACAAAGTAACGCATAACATAACATCACATAACATACCAGAGCAGCACATGACAGACGGAAGACGGCATAACACAACATTATAGAACAGAACTGAGCATAACATAACACACCTTGACATAACATGTTTGACCATGGCGCAGCATCACAGGACAGATTACAACACGACAGCAGAGCATAGCGCCATACTAGCTGAGCAAATGACGCTATACTATACAGAGCCGCGCCGTCAACACACATAACATCACAGACAATACCAGGGCATGGCATGACAGAACAGAAGACGACAGAACATAACATAACATGACATAACCCAACACAGTATAACACACCTTGGCAGACCATACCATGTCATGGCACAGCGTCACATAACATATCTTACCACGACAGTAGAGCATAGCGACGACGAACGCGACAGAAAACAACATGACACAACATACCATGACATAACAGAACACGAGCATGCCAGACCATGATAGAAGAGGAAACTGCGATGCCATGACAAGCCAGAGCATACCATAACATTACAACCCATACCAGGGCGGAACATGACACAACAGAACAAGTCGTACCAGAACAAAGCAGATCATAATCGAACATAAGCCAGCACATCTTGACAAAACATATCATGACGCAGCATCACAGAACATATCATAACACGACAGCAGTGCATAGCGAAAAAGACCAGCAGAGCAGATCAGAATACACTATGCACTATGCAGAGCCGATCTGTCAAACAAAAAGCATCACATAACATATATGACATAGCAGGAGACGACATACCATAGCATACCATATCAGAACCGAGCATGACATAACATATCATAGCATAGCATGACAGCGTTACAGAACATATCATAGCACGACAGCAAAGCATAGCGAAGCATACTAGCAGAGCATCTCATAATATACTGTACTGAGCCGAGCTGTCAACAACATCATGGAACAGCGCATACTGTAACATATCATGACATAACATATAATGTCATAAAATAGTACCGCAGGGCAGGTCACACCATAACATGTCAAATAATATGGTGACAGAGGTGAGCAGAAATGAACAGACTCAATCAGAAGAGAAGCATACAAATTAAGAGGAACACAACAGACGACGCATTTAACGTCACAGGCGTCACGACGTCACGCCAGCCCGTCGAGGACATACCATGACATAATGGAGCATAACATGAAAGCACGTGACTACATTGAGCACGGTTGCACCGTTCTAAATCCAGAAACGGCAGTTGTGCAGTGGTGGGGGGAGGAAACGTAGGGAGGAGAGGTCCGCATCACCTCCATCCTCTTCCTCCTCCTCCTCCTTCGTCGTCCGCCTCCTCCTCTTCCTGTTCCTCCTGTTGATGCTCGTCATGTTCCTCGTCCAACAGGCTGCAGCTTTCTATCAATTTCGCACCGCACGTTTTCGAAGCTTGTCGTTTCGTCAAGAACTTTGGGGTTGTTGGATTTGGAGTCAACGGAATTCGCAACCCAACCCGACCGCCGCTCTGGCCGAGAATACAGGGGCCCCGCGCGTAGCCTTCCACCAATTAGGCGACCGCGCGCCGTCGGGAACAAACGCTCAAGATGTTGGTGGGGATCGCTCGATGCAAAATAACTGATTTGTTTGCAGCTCGGGAGATAACTGGACACTTGTTGTTCTCGATGTTCCGACTCCACTTCGCAGTCGAAAGTTCTGTGTTGCGTGCTGGCGGGCGTGGCATTACTGGGATGGCTATAATGAAGATGAGAAAGAAGGAGCAGGGAGGAAACGGGGTAGGGACAAGAATGAGAGGCAACAGATCATGAACAGTAGGCAAGGAGTCAAACAATAAACCAGTCAGCAGTCAGCCCACGTGGTCCTCACGTGGGCTGCAACAGCGCAGCTGCGCCACAGCAACTTTGCGGCCCTCCGTGGCCCCCCCCCCTCGTCTTTCCCAGGATACAGTTGAAGACGGGCGGGTAGCGCGTCCGTGGCGGCGCGGGCCGGGTCGGGGGGGCGAGACATTAAAGTACGTAGCACCCCGCATATGCGGATAAGACTGGCGGGGCGGTGGGGGCGTCGGCAGTTTGCGAAACTTTGGAAGGCCCGCCGCAGGCGCCAAAATTTCACACATGGTACAACGAGCCCGCCGCAGGCGCCGATTTTTCCGTTAAACCAATGTGGGTCGCTCGCGGGTGGGTCGCGGGTGGATCGCGGGTGGGTCGCGGGTGGGTCGCGGGGTGGGTCGCGGGTGGGTCGCGGGTTGGGTCGCGGGTGGGTTGCGGGGTGGTCGCGGGTCGGATGATCGCGGGTTGGGTCGCGGACGGGGCGCGGGTGGGTCGCGTATTGGGTCGCGGGTGGGTCGCAGGTGTAGAGGGCAGAAAATTCACCCTATACTAAATCCCCCCGACAAGCGAGGCCTTTTAGTAAACGCACACAAGGAACGAATCGAACAGGGCAGGGCTGTTTAGTCAACGCCCAGGGCCGTTTACTAAACGCCAATTGTCGGGTCTGGGCGGTTTTTCCTCCCTTGAAGGTGGGTCGCGGGGTGGGTTGAGGGTGGGTCGTGGGGTGGGTCGCGGTGGGTCGCGGATGGGTCGCGGATGGGTCGCGGGGTGGGTCGCGGGGGTCGTCGCGGGGCGGGTCGCGGGTGGATCGCGGGTTGGGTCGCGGGTGGGTCGCGGGGTGGGTCGCAGGTGGGTCGCGGGTTGGGTCGCGGGTGGGTCGCGGGGTTGGTCGCGGGGTGGGTCGCGGGTGGGTCGCGGGGTGGGTCGCGGGGGGTGGTCGCGGGTGGTCGCGGGGTGGGTCGCGGGATGGGTCGCGGGGCGGGGCGGGTGGGTCGCGGGTTGGGTCGCGGGTGGGTCGCAGGTGTAGAGGGCAGAAAATTCACCCCATACTAAATCCCCCCGACAAGCGAGGCCGTTTAGTAAACGCACACAAGGAACGAATCGAACAGGGCAGGGCTGTTTAGTCAACGCCCAGGGCCGTTTACTAAACGCCAATTGTCGGGTCTGGGCGGTTTTTCATCCCTTGAAGGTGGGTCGCGGGGTGGGTTGACGGTGGGTCGTGGGGTGGGTCGCGGCTGGGTCGCGGATGGGTCGCGGATGGGTCGCGGGGTGGGTCGCGGGGGTCGTCGCGGGGCGGGTCGCGGGTGGATCGCGGGTTGGGTCGCGGGTGGGTCGCGGGGTGGG